TGGGGAAAGCCCAAGGCCTTGGTGAAGATATCGGCCAGTTGCTCATTGGTACGAACATGAGAAGTAGCAAGTGAGCCTTTGATAATCTCATCACGAATAAAGTGACAATCTCTCTCGATATGCTTTGTTCGTTCATGGAACACCGGATTAGCAGCAATGTGTAACGCTGCTTTGTTATCACAAAAGAGATGCATAGCCTGTGGATGAGAGATACCAAAGCATGCCAACAACTCACGGTTCCACTTGATTTCCCGAGTAGTGAAACCCATCGCGCGATACTCCGCCTCCGCCGATGAAAACGAGACCGTGTCTTGTTTCTTTGTCTTCCAAGCAATAGGAGAATCGCCTAACAACACCATAAAACCAGTGAGAGAACGACGCGTCATAGGACATGCGTTGTAATCAGAATCACAATATGCCTTGATCTGCAAGTCATTATTCGAACTCAACATAATGCCTTGTCCCGGAGAGCCTTTAAGATAACGAACCACTCGTACAGCTGCTTCCCAATGTTTAATACGAGGATTTTTCATAAATTGTGCCAACATATGCACCGCATAAGACAACTCTGGACGTGTATGAGTAAGATAAACCAGTCGACCAACCAATCTTCGATAGCGAAGTGGGTCATTGTAGTAGTCACCCTCATCTTTAGCTAAATTATGGTTTTGTACCATTGGAGTTGTGACTGGCTGACAACCCAACAAACCACACTCTTTGACAATGTCCATAGCATACTTCCTTTGGGACAAATAAATCCCCTCCGGTGAGCGTGAGACTTCAATACCAAGAAAGTATTTCACCAATCCCAAATCTTTCATCTTAAAGCATTGACTCAAGTAGCCTTTGAACTTGATAATAGCCTCTGGATCATTCCCTCCAATCAACAAGTCATCCACATAAATGAGAACATAAAGTCTCATAGTTCCACGAGTAAGGGTAAACAAAGAATAATCGGAAACGTTTTGAATGAATCCATACCCTTTGAGAGCTGTAGTTAGTTTAGAAAACCAACACCGTGGAGCTTGACGAAGCCCATATAAAGACTTCTTTAGTTTACACACTTTCGATTTGTCAGAACATTCAAAGCCGGGAGGTAGTTTCATGTAAACCTCCTCAAGAAGATCACCATGCAAAAATGCATTATGCACATCCATTTGATGAACCTCCCATCCTTTCACCGCTGAGACTTTAAGAAACATTCTTACTGTAGTCATCTTGACAACAGGAGCAAAAGTTTCATCATAATCGACTCCTTCTTCTTGACGATTTCCCGATGCTACTAATCTTGCCTTGTAACGTTCAACGATTCCGGTTGAGAGATACTTAATTGTGAATATCCAGTGGCAGCCAATAGCCTTTTTACCAGGCGGCAAATCAGTGATATCCCATGTTCCACTATCCTCCAGAGCTGTGACTTCACCTGAGACAGCTTTTCTCCAACGCTTATCTTTCATAGCTTCCCGAAACGAGGAAGGTTCACTTTCAGCAGTAATCGCCGCGAGGAAAGCTCTGTGTGACGGTGAGAAACGATCACAATTTACATAGTTTGAGATAGGATACTGAACCATACCTGAGTTCGATGACGCTGGTGGAGACAAGTGAGAAGAGAGAGAGTCGGGGTCGTTTCGGCATTGTGTAGTGTAAAGAACAAAACCATCAAGACGAGATGATTGTGTGCGTTCTCTGTTACTTCTCCTTAATGGAGCTGTTTCGATAACCTGGTCTTCAACCACAGCTTCTTCTTCCACCACAGCTTCTTCTTCATTAACGTTTTCACTCCCCCTTTCGTTGGACGTCGTTACATTCAACTCCTCTCTTAATTCCAGAAAATCATTATCATCAACAACCTCTCGTTGTTGTATCATCGGTATAGAAACAACACTTTGTTTTGGACCAGATACAAATGGAAATTCTTTCTCCTCAAAAACAACATCTCGTGAAACAAAGAATTCTTCTTTCTCTATATCCCACACTCGCCAACCTTTTTGACCAAATGGATATCCCATAAAAACACAACGACGACTTCTTTCACCAAATTTATCTGTATCTCTTTGTACCTTTCTAGCATAGCACAAGCTACCAAATACCTTGAGAGTAGAATAGTTTGGAGCTACTCCATGTAATATCTCAAAAGGACTCTTGCCATCAAGCAGTGGAGATGGAGTACGGTTTATGAGATGACACGCTGTCAAAACACATTCTCCCCAAAATCGTATCGGAAAACTTGCTTGGAACATCAATGATCGAGCAACATTCAAAATATGCCTATGCTTCCTTTCAACTCGGCCATTTTGTTGTGGCGTGTATACACAACTAGTTTGATGCAAAATTCCTTCCATAGTAAAATAAGACTTCATACTCATAAACTCTCCACCATTGTCACTTCTCACTACACGCACCTTTTTGTTGAATTGTCTTTCCACCATTTTAAAGAAATTCTTTAAGGTTTCTGCGACCTCTTTCTTCTCTTGTAACAAATAAACCCAAACTGCTCTAGAGTGATCATCCACAATGGTAAGAAAATAAGCTGCACCCGATGATGAGAGAGTTCGATAAGCACCCCACACATCACAATGAATCAAATCAAAAACACCAATAGCTTTATTCGAACTTTCATGAAAAGAATCTCGGGTTTGTTTAGCCCTTAAACAAATCTCACAAGTAGATTTAGATTCAACAGATTTTCCAACATCCAAACTACTAGGTAAATAAGATAACACACGGCTTGAAGGATGGCCAAGACGACGATGCCATAAGTCACACGAACCAGGACTCAAAGCCTTATTCACCCTTGCACCCATCACGCCTCTGAAAACGTAGACTCCCCCTCTCTCTTCACCCGCTCCAATCAGCATCTTCGAGGTACGGTCCTGTAAAACACACAACTCATCAGTAAATGTTATTGATCCCTTGATAACTTTAAGCACTTTCGCAACAGAGATCAATGAGCATGTAAGATCTTTTGAGTATAAAACTCCTCTAAGCCACAAATCTCCTCCTAAACATAAGTCTCCTTGTTTTGTAGCAACTGCTGTATCACCATCAGGCAAACCAATAGGACAAGCAGGAATATTTGTAACATTACTCAAAAGATCAATATCCCATGTCATGTGGTGTGATGCACCTGTATCAATGATAAATTCTCCACTTTCTGCCTTACCATTAAGCTTTTCATTGGTTTCCTGTTTCTTAGAGGAAAGAAAACTCAAGAGTGAGGTCCATTGCTCATCACTCAGCTGAGGAAGAGATGCTCTGTCGTAGTCCTTTTCTTGTCTCACAAGGTTTGCTTGTACACCTTCTTGGTTTTGCACTTGTGCTGCATACCCACGTCCAACAACACTTGTGCTTGTTCCTCTACCACGACCTGATCGTCCAGCAACACCACCACCTCTTCCAAATCTCCCTCGAGTGCCTCCGCCTCTACCTCTTTCAGTAAAATCACGTCCTCGTTCTCCCCACCATTCTGGATAACCTTTGAGCTGAAAGCAGTCTGCTTGTGCATGACCATACTTGCCGCAATGAGTACAAGTCACGTCCTTCTCACGTTGTTGATATTGAGAAGAATTACCCTTGTATGCATTCGCTGAGAAACCCACAACTTCAGCTGGTACATCTTTGCTCCTTGTCATAGATTGTTGTCTCTCCTCACGCACAATGCGTTGATACACTTGAGAGAGTTTAGGTAATGGCTCTATGCTTTGAATTGTAGAGCGAACAACAGCAAACCTCTCTGCATTCAAACCAGTCAAGAACGTGTTTGTCCTTTCTTCCTCACGATCTTCTTCTAATTGGGCTTTAAGTTCTCCACATGAGCATGTTCTGATTGGTTTGTAGATCGCAAGCTCATCCCACATCTTTTTCAGTTTCCCGAAATACACCGTAACAGAATCACCGTTCTGTCTACAATTCGCAATTTCAGCTCGGAGTTCACTTATGCGTGGTCCGTTCCCTGCTGAGAACTGCATCTTCAAGTCTTCCCACAGTTCACATGCTTCTTCTGTCATCGTGATCGACTCCCTTAAAGTTGGCTCGATTGTATTCATAATCCACGCCACCAACATGGAGTTAACTACATCCCATTGTTCAATCTCTTCGACCGTCGTCGGCTTCGTTAAAGTACCATCAACAAACCCTAGCTTCCGCTTGGTACGCAAGGCATTCCGCACATGCTTAGCCCAATCTTCATAGTTTGCTCCTTTGAGCTGCACCGTTGTAATCAAATTCCCTGGTCCATCCGATGGATGGAGATAGAGTGGAGACAAGGTCGACACCATCGCCTTATCGACCACCATCATCTCTTTGGCACCGCCTTCCGCATGCACCATGTTACCGTTGCCGCCTTCCGCAGCTTTCCCGTCTTTACCACTGCCTCCTGCAGGTTCGTTCTTCCCCATAATCTCTTACTTGACTAGGTTATTTGAATTCTATATTATGTCTTAGGATCTTTGCTCTGATACCATGACAAAGAGAGAAGAGAATGTCGTCCCTCTTATTATGTCTTACAAGAGTATATATACATGTTACATAAACCTAGGCAACTCCACAAAAGGAATATTAACATATACTAAGATAGATTTTATGATATTTACATTCAACTCCCTAATAGCCCATAATCTATAATAGTATTATGGATTTCAAATTCAATGGTTATAACCTGTTTCCTGATGAAATATAACAAAACCCTTGCTTTTTCGCTCTTTGAATTGTCCTGAAGATTTGTTGAAGAGCTCTCATAGCTTTACACATGATCTACCTATTATGTATATGATACTAATCAGAACTGATTTGCTGTTGAGGCGGAGTTGATGAATGTTTGCTCTTTATGTCTCTTTATGTTTTCAGGCCATGGTAACTCGGTTTTCATCAATCTCAACAAGAAAGCTATCAAATGCGTTGACAGTCCTCACTTGCAACAAATCTATGGTTGCTACGAGTGATTATGATGATTTCCATATATCCGCTACACGTTGTATCTTGAATGGCCTTTTAGGTGCAAAATGCACAGGTGAATTCACAGTTCATTTATCCCCGCAGCTTCTCTTCAATATACTTTGTAGGCTGTAGCAAACTGAATCAAGTTTTGTGTGGTTTCTTACAGAAACGGAAAAGACACTACACAGATGCCCTCATTTAGAATGTGACTTCCAAGCTGCATGACCACACCAGAGACCATCCGCAAGAACCTGTAAACTTCAGGGCTATATTCGCGCATGAGCTTTTTGGAGTAGCCTTGAAGCAAGTGAGTATTTCGTTTACTACCCTATACTTCAGGAAACACACGTTTCTACTATTTGTTTGTTCAGAGAAAATATGAAATTGGTTTTTTTTTTTCTTTCTCATAGGCATTTGGGAAAGATGTAGAACCCATTTATGTGAAGGAACTCGGTGTGACTATGTCAAAAGACGAGATCTTCAAGGTTTTAGTACATGACATGATGGAAGGTGCAATTGATGTTGACTGGAGAGACTTCTTCCCATACTTAAAATGGGTTCCAAATAAAAGTTTTGAACCAAGAATCCAGTAAAAGCATAAACGTAGACTCGCGGTGATTAATGCTCTAATCCAAGATCGGCATAATATATCAGAAACGGTATATGCTTTGTTTAATTGTCTTCAGTTTATTGCCTTACTGTTACTCTTTTGATCTCATTGATATCTACTTAGAAACAGGATGATGATTGCTATCTCAACTTCTTGATGACGGAAGCGAAAACACTAACCATGGAGCAAATTGCAATCTTGGTTTGGGAGACGATCATCGAGACAGCTGACACTGCTCTGGTCACAACTGAATGGGCCATTTATGAGCTAGCAAAGCATCAACATGTCCAAGATTGTCTGTGTAAAGAAATCAAAAGTTTACGCGGAGGAGAAAATATCAAAGAAGAGCATTTGCCTCGCTTCCTTATGTCAATGGAGTCTTCCATGAAACCCTTAGGAAATACAGTCCGGTTCCTCTTGTTCCCATTCGCTATACTCACGAAGATACTCAAATTGGAGGCTATCATGTCCCTGCAGGAAGTGAGGTAAGAAGGCTCAAAACCGAGTCATTTCACATTCTGAAGTTCAGTTACAAAGTCTAATTTGGAATCTTGATTGTACAGGTAGCAATAAACATCTATGCATGCAACATGGATAAGAACCGTTGGGAGAGGCCAGAGGAGTGGTGGCCGGAGAGGTTCTTGGATGACAGATACGAATCGTCGGATCTGCACAAGACAATGGCGTTTGGAGCGGGGAAGAGGGTTTGTGCTGGTGCACTTCAAGTATCTCTCATGGCAGGCATTGCTATTGCGAGATTGGTTCAAGAATTTGAATGGAACTTAGAGATGGGGAAGAAGAGAATGTGGATACATATGGCTTGACCTCTCAGAAGCTCTATCCTCTCATGGCTATCATCAATCCAAGGCCTTCTTCTTAAGAGATGTTTCTTTCTTTCTTTCTGTAAGTTTACTTTGGGTACTACTTTTGTCTGTTTTAAGAGATTGCTATTGTTCACTACTCTTTTGGTTTGGATGTTTGTTATATTCAACTCTGGAAATGTTATCTTGCCGTGTCATATGAAATATGATTTCTAAATTTTTTATATTTGGAATTAAACAAAAAGCTAAAAAGTTTGCTAACCTTTTGTTTGGTGATCTATGCATATTCACATTCACAGTACAACGACCTAAAGGCTAATACTATAATTTAAAAAGGGTGTTATTTTTGTCCGAAATGAAAATTGATCCAAGTAGTAAAATCTGATAAAATAACGAATATGTGAATTTATTTCCAAGTCTCATTTTACCAATAATTACCAAATACAAAGCTAAAAAAATCCACGAATCTCTCACGCCAAGTTCTTCTGTCCGTGTAGATAATCTAAACTTATGAATAAAGAGCCAAACACTGGGGAAAAAGATGATCTTATAAAATGGATTCTTTCACAGTAATGTAGTATTTTATTTTGAAACTATTCAAATTGGATCTTATAAAATGCAAACGCAGCAAAGTGATATAATGTGATAAATGTTTAAAAACAAACTATATAAAAATAATACTAATAATTAGATATATAAGCCCTCACTAAACATAACAAAAATATACTCTCTCTATTTTTTAAAAATATACTCTTTGTTTATTAACAAACTATATCAAAAATAGCCTATAAATATACCATCCATGATTAACATTTTTCAATACTTTTTAACCAATAATAATTTAAGTTGTTTTCTTGAAAGTTACAATTTGCACTTTTGTTCAATAATTTCAGTTTCAATTTTACAAAAAGGCATTTTACAAATATGAGACTATCATTTTTTTTTTAAGTTTTACAATTATGAAAATACAAATCTAATTAAAAAAAAGTAACAACACCACCCGCGCATTAGCGGGCTTTAACCTAGTTTTATATAAAATTTAATGTTATATGCTGAGGTGGACACTCTAGATGGAAAAAGAAATCTTTAAGCTATCTTTATTATATTATTAATTTAATTGAGAAGTACATGAAAAATTTATGACCAAAAAACCAATATAATTATGAAGAGAAAATGTTTGGCAACAAATTTAATTAAGGTCAATTTAGTACATTGGAATGTTTGGATACAAGAATAAGAGAATAAACTATTTGGATAGAAGAATAAATGGAAAAAATTGTTTGGATACAAGAATAATAACTTAAAACAAACCGATGGTTTAGAAAATTTCGGTTTTCCAGCTCTTAAAAATATGCAAAAAAAAAAACTTAACATAATCTAACGATAATACCAAATCAATAAAATATGCTTTTTGGATTTCGGGTTTTTATAGACAAGTTCGGGTTTGGGTGAAAATCTGAGACCTAATTTTATAGAGATATAGAGATATAGAAATTGTTCGGGTTTCTTTGAAAATTTCTGTTCGGGTTGGGTTAGAGTTTTTTTTTTTTCAGTTTAGGGTTTTCCGGATTTTTTGGATTTCGGTTTTCGGGTTTAGTATATTAAAAAAGTAGTATTTTAAAATTTTGATTAGGGTATTTGGGTCGGGTTCCGGGTGAAAAAGTTTCCAGATTTTTTTTTTTTGTTCAGATCAGGGTTTTCGGGATTTTGTTGATTTCAGATTTTCAGGTTTAGACATATTAATAAGGTTTGGGTTTTAATTATTTTTGATTAGGGCTTTTTGGCGGGTTCGGATTTAGGGTTTAAAATTTTTACACAAAACCACAACGTCGCACCGCACAAATGTGCGGGTACTCTACTAGTCGTACTAGTATTTGCGAAGTTAGAATTTCGAATGGAGTCACCATGTTAACTCTTAGCCGCGGAATTACTGAGATACCCTTAATGAAAATATTTTTAATATCTTTATTTTTGTGTTAATCTTCTTGATTAAAAAAAAGAAAGTTACTATTATCCTTTTATACAACCGTATATATTATTTAGGATAATCACTACTATGAAAAAAAACCTAAATCTTTAAAAATCTATATATAGTTATATACTAACCCTAGATCTCTCTATGACATGAACATAGTTTTCTTTGCCGCTGAGCCATACCATAGCTCACACGTCAATGTTTTTGCTACAAGTGAAGAAGAAGAACAAAAGGCTACAACTCCTGATTTCAAGGAATTAGAGTTAATATAGTAGATTATATGTTAGGCTGCTTTGGGATTTGACTATGAAATAATATTCTTTTGCTGAAACGGATCTATGAATTAATCTAACAACTTAAGTGAAGAAGAGTCCACCGCTTCAAACTATCATCGCCGTTTTCGTCGACTTTGCTTTTCAAGGGGTGATCTCATTTAATAAGAAGATGACATACTGTTTATATGTGATATGGCAGGTAACAACCAATTTTGATTCATATGTGCCGATTTTTTTATGACTTCTTCTTTTGCGAAATATATTTAGTTGATTGTTTCGTAAATTCTTTGGTTTGATTTTGAAATACTATTTTCTACACTAAAGTTTTAAGTAGCATTACATTAAACTAAATTTCCACCCTAAAGGAGCGGGAGTTGGCAAATAATATTCTAGAATGATGAGTTAAGCCTAAAATTGGTTCTTGATTTGTGAGTTTTGTTGCAGGTGGTGGATTTGATAAGTGCCTTTAGGGTTATATTCAGAGGACGATCCGATTAAGATTGAGTTTGATAAGCTTAGGTGTATGAAGGAAGAGATCGATGTGTTAGCTCATCAGCAAGTGAAGAAGATTCTGTGGTGTGGTCTTGGTTACTCTGTTGTACAAATCGGACTTTTCATCAGACTAATTTTCTGGGAGTTTTCATGGGATATGATGGAGCCGCTCACGTTTTTTACAACAGCGAATGGGAGGATTGTTGATTATGCTTACTTCTTGCTGACTTCAAGAGACCCGACTTATCAAGATTTCATGAAGAGGTTGTTTCTTTCGAGACAGAGGAAGCTGCTCAAGAGTCGCAAGTTTGATGTTGAGAGGTTTAAGGTGCTTGAGAGGAAGTGGAAGATGACTTCTTCGTCCTTCTTCTTGGTCTGCTTCTTACCACGCGAACGCATCGATTAGGAATCGTGTTGGTGTTGATCTTGATTTGGAGGATTCTTGACATATATTATCACAAATTATTGTGATAGTAGAGATGGTACAATGTGTCTTCACTGGCACGTGATATATTTTGGACCCGTTAAACTCTCTTATGAACCTCTCAAAGCCTCCACAACTTCCTTTTTAATTTGGTTTATTCTCCATGGAATTTGTAGTTAACATGGCTAAGTATTGTTACAGGTTGAGAGTACTTTTGGAGAATTCATGATTCGTGAGCTCAAGGCGTTGTCTGGTGTGCCGTCACAATCACAAGCCTCATAATGGGGTTGGTTATAATGTTGGTTATGGACATGAACATAAGATTAAATAAAGTATGAGAAAGAAAAAGATAAAATATTTGAGAAAAACCAATAAAGCAAAAAAATGAAATATGAGAAGATGAGAAAACATAAATAAAAGAAAATAAAGAGGAAGACGAAACTAATAAATAAGATGTTGAAAAAAGAAAAAGATTGATAATACAAAATGATGAAGAATGCTGAAATAAGAAGAAAAACCTGAACAATAATAAGGAAAAGACGAAAGTTGGAAGACGAAGACGAAAAAACAGAAGAAGAAACGAAATGAAGAATATGTGAACAACAAAGAAGTTGGAAAAATCAATAGATAAAAAAAAGAATAAGAACATTAATCCAAATGAAAAAAAATGTAAATAAAAGGAAGAAAACAAAAAAAAAAATCAGAAAATAAAAAGATGATGATGATGAGAGATGAAAATAAAAAGAGAATAGAAAGTTTGATAAGAATAAAAGAAAAAAATGGTAGAAAATTAAGGAAAAAAAATAATGTTGTCGGTGGCGAACTGGAGCTGTGAAGCCAAGAAATCAAAGCAGCCACTGAGGAAAGAAAGAAGGTAATAAAAAAACTAGAAACAGTTAAGGCTTTCTTGGAATCGGCAACTACAAGATTAGATGAAGGAGTATGCATAGAGTGGGTTGTAGTGGCAGAGCTTGAGGGACTCTAAATAGAAATCCTCTCTAATTATGGTTAATGATTAGTAGTGGTATATGTCAAGATCCATTATGTCTCTAATTATGGTTAATGATCCCTAAGAAACAAAATCTAAGATAAAAACTGAAGAATAAAAACACAAAGCTAACTGAAAAATAAATTGTAAATAAAAAAGAAAAAAACAAATAAAAAGATGGTAGAAATTGAAGGAAAAAAATAGAAAAGAAGTATAGACAAAGTATAAAAGAACAAGATAAAATGGGGTTATGATGTACAATTTATATTGATGGGTGTAAGGTTTAGATTTTGGTTCATTTTAAAAAATTTAATACACTTCATTACCGATTAAAAAAATAATACTACATTTAAGAAAAAAAATATATAAAAGTAAATACAAAACCAATTATTATGGAAGAACATTTGAATACATCAACATTGCCGATTAAAACCATACATTGTAGAGTCCAAATATTCACATATAGGAATGCACAAATAATTCCAATGTTAAAATGGTGGCGGCAACAAAAGTAAGTGAACCCTTTGCAAATGAGAATCATGGTCAAATACCTTCGTAATTCCAGACAGTCTCTTTAATGGGGAAATAAAATGAAACTCAATTCTCGAATGCCTCATCAAGAGTCTACGAATCTGTTTCCAAAAGCCCTTCAAGTTTGTTGATTATAGAATTTATCCTTAACACTTCCTCTCTATGATTTCTGACTTGGACAAGCTCCATTTCAAAGGATGGGTGAACAAAGAGTTTGTAATCTTTACTCGAAAGATTATCTCCTCTAATAATCTTCTCTGAAATATATAACCAGGAAGACGAAGAACATCGTGAAAAAGAAGCAAAGTATAATACCCGAAAAGATGGATTTACATAACAAAACATATATAATGAAGAAGAAGAAAAACATAATAGCAGAGAATAAGAAGGAAAATTTGAAAGAAGAAAATCGGAGGATAAATAAGATGAAAGTAAAGTACGAGAAGATAAAGATAAAGAAAACCAGAAAATTAAGATGTTACACAAATAAAATAAAGAAGATGAAAGAACTACAACTTAAAAAAAATAGCAAAAAGGTATGAGGAGATGAAGAAGAAGAAATATGAGAAGACGAGAAAAAAATAAAAATTAAAATAAAGAGGAAGACGAAACTGATAAATAAAATGTCGCAAAAAAGAAAAAGACTCATACTACAAAATGATGAAGTACAAGTTGAAATAAGAATGAAAACTTGAATAAAAATAAGGAAAGACAAAAGTTGGAAGACGAAGACGGAAAAAATGAACAAAAAAACAAAACAAAAGAAGAAAATAATTGAAGAATATGTGAATAATAAAGAAGTGGAAAAATCAAAAGAGAAAAAGTGAAGAATAAGAACACAAAGCCAGTTGAAAAACAAACTGTAAATAAAAGGAAGAAAACGAATAAAAACCAGGAAATAAAAAGATATCGATGAAGGGAGAGGAAAAGAAAAAAGATTATAAATTTTGATAAGAGTAAGGGAAAACAGTAGAAAATGAAGGAAAAAATAAAATAAAAGCAAATCCAGAATCAGTTTGTAAAATGTGGGGTTCATGTGTGCGGTTTAGGAGAGAGTTATAACGTGAGGTTTCGGTCTGGGGGTGTAGGGTCTTTGGGGGGGGGAAGAGTTATAATGTGGGGTCTATATTGGTTGGTGTAAGGTTTAGTTTTTGGTGCATTTTTAAAAATTTGAATGATTATAGAAATCAGAATTACAAATCATTCATTATAACTTTATATCTACCTTTCTAAATTACATTCACAAATAGAAAAAAAAATTATAACAATTAAATTAAATCCAGAATCGAAAGATAACATTTTTTTTGAAAAGAACTCAACTATATAAAGATAAAAGATAAAAATATTTCATAAATCCTTGAGAATCTAAACGATCAGATGAATTGATATGTGGAATACAAGACGTACACAAGAACTAATAAAATACAAGTAAAAGAAAATAAGTCAATGGAAAAGAAGATGGGAAATATGGAGAGGAAAAAGAAGAAAACTCGAAATATGAGGAAAAATAAATCAAAGAAGAAAAAATGGAATGTAAAGAGAAAAAAAAGGCAAAGAAGAGATAAATAAAAACTAGAATAATATGATGTCTTAGAAGACGAAGATGATAAAGATAGAGAGTAGGGGGAATGAGGAAAAAGAAAAAACGTAAAAAGAATGTAAAAGAAAATTAGAAAGAAAAAGAAGAATAGTAAGTTGGAGGATATGAAGAAACAAGAAAAGATTGAAGAACAAAAATTTGAAAAAGAAGAAGCGGGAGAAAAAAAGATAATGACAACGAATAAATAAACGGAAGAAAAAATAAAAGATGGAAACAGTGAAAAAGAATAAGAGGGAGAAGAAAACAACCATTACAAAATAACTAATCTTTTTGTTCTTTCATAATTTATAAGTTCTAATCAAATTAACAAATTTTAAGCTATTACTTCTATGGAAATTATAATGTGGGGTCTTTGGGGGGGGAGTTATAATGTGGAGTTTGGGTTTAGTGTGTAGGGTGTAGGGTCGTTTGGGGGAGGGGGGGTGTGTTACAATGTGGGGTTTGGGTTTTAGGGTGTAGGGTTTAGTTATTATATCTTAAAGCAATTTCTAAACAAATATGTAACTACCAATTTTTTTTGAACAAGAATGCATTTATAAACAAATTTAAGACGGAAATATTCAAATAACTACTTGTAAAAGAAAATGTATATCATAACGCATAAAAACATTACAAAATTACTAACAAAAAATCGACAGTGAACAAACAATGATTTAAGATTTTTTGTAAGCCATAAAAAAAATATACATAATTTATATTATATGAAAGCTAAATATATACTTTTATGATCAACGTTTATAAACTAATAATATGATGTGTAAGTTAAATGCACTGAAAAATAAATTATATGTTGTTTATAGTATTTTAAGTTCTAACATAACAAATTCAAGTTATTTTAAATAAATATCTTGTTAAATACACATACTGTTAAAATCTAAATTTAAGAATTTCACTATACATATTTAAAAGGGTTTTGTGCAAAAAAACCCCAAACTAAATTATTTTTGCAAGAAAAACCTTCACTTCAAAAAAATGCAAGTCAAACCACTCACCTCCAAAGTTACCCGCAATATAGTCGCTGCCTATATTGATGACGTGGCATTGTTAGAATCTTTTTTTTTTAAATAAATTTTTGTGCATAAAAAACTCAAACTATTTTTTTTTGCAAAAAGAGCCATCATATCAAAAAGCTGCATTTTGATTACCCCAATGCATTTGAGTTTTTGGGACGGGAATTAAGGAAAATGAGACGGAAATGAGAAATTTGGGAAACCAAAAATGATACCTGAAGTATTTCTATTATAATGGGACGGGAAATAATAGGAATGGGAAGAGAACATGAAATTTGAGAATAAAAAATTAATTCCCGAAGTCTTAAGAAATCGTGAAATTGAAGATATAGAAATGACGTGGAAAATACGGGAAATTTGAAAAATACGGAAGATTATGGGAAAATATGGGAAAATTGGGATATTTTAAAATATATATAATTTTCGATTTCTATTTTTTAAAATAGGAAAATCGGAAAATCTCGTACCCTTTCCAAACCCTTCCCTTACCCGTTTGAATGGAATTTCCCATTTGGAAACATTTATTTTATTCAAACGGGTAAATAAAGGGTTCAGGAAGGGTAAAAGACTTCCCGATTTTCCCGTTTAAAAAAAAATTGAAAAATACATTTTTTTTCTTAAATATTCCAATTTTCCCCATATTTTGCCGTATTTTTCCAATAATTTCCCAAAATATCTTCAATTTTCCTGATTTAGTAAGACTTCGAGAATTCATTTTTATTCTCAAATTTCCCGTTCTCTTCCCATTCCCGTTATTTCCTGTCCCATTATAATAAAGAAATACTTCATGTATCATTTTTGGTTTCCCAAATTTCTCATTTCCGTCCCATTTCTGTTAATTCCCGTCCCAAAAACCCAAATGTACTAGGCTAATCAAAACACAACTTTTTGATACGATGGCTCTTTTTGCAAAAAAAATAGTTTGAAGTTTTATTTTGCACAAAAATTTATTTAAAAAAAAAATCTGACAATGCCATGTTATCAATATAGGCAGGGGCTATATTGCGGGTGACTTTGGAGGTGAGTGGTTTGACTTGCATTTTTTTGAGATAAGGGTTTTTCTTGCAAAAATAATTTAGTTTGGGGTTTTTTTTTGCACACAATCCAATTTAAAAATGTATTTTTGTTTAGAAAATGATCAATACGTCACAATAGTTCATAAATTAACATTACATTTTACGATATATATATATTACTAATAAAGTTTATCATATTATAATGATTTGAATATCTTCAAATAAGTTTTGGTCGACATATACAAACATTTTAGTTATCGGGATATGATCTAATCAATATTTATGTACGTCAAGATTTGATCTCAACACGATATTATATATCTAAAAACTTCTGTTTACTATAAAATTTTGGTATTAAAATATTATTAAATTTTAATTGTTGATTTTTGCAGTTTTAAAAATATATTTTAAACCGATTTATGATACAGATCCGCGCGTGCGCGGGTGAAAGTCCTAGAAGGCTATGAATATCTTAATCCACAAATAACATAACATGAATATCCGAGGAGTGCGGACGGAGCCGTTCACAGGCTCAGCCAACGGGGTATTCCCGACCAAGGGGTAGAAGAACGAGGGTCAGGGTAAGAGACAGCCAAAATGCCAACGTATTGAATCCCGAATGGAGCATTAATAGTATTGCCCTATATGTTTGAACGCGACTATCTGGTTTAACGCGACTTTCTGAGTCACTTGGCGACTTCGCTTCATAAGTGGTCGACATGACAAGTGTGCTTATAACAAGGAGCGCGTTTCTGGTACCGTCGGATATGGCGCTCCTGTAACGTACCGTTGTGATGGAGCAGTATTCTCTGAACGTAATCGGTGATCTTAAATACTGAGAGGAGGTCTTGACTTTTGATAGAGCATCCTTGCTCTTCCCTCCCGATCTTCTTATGATTTTTTCAGTATCGAAGTTCATATGATTACCCTTTGCTCGGACCATATCCAGGGGTGTAAAACCATCTTTGTTCTGCATGTTCCGGTCTAGCAAGAGGCATTTCAATAGAAGTTTGACTGCCTGTACAAATTCCCATACGAAACTTCATATATCGTATAACAGAATTATATATATATTTTTACCCAAAAAATTGAATTATAAGCGGGTTAATTATCAATCACTTTAGCTTTAATATATCAGTTTCAAACATTGGGAAAACAAAAACGAATATCTGGAATCATGTACATGCCTGGTGTTTGTCATCAGATGCTGCAATGTGCAAGGCAGTGTTGCCTTCCAGATCTTGTTTGTTTAGGACCTCAGTCTTCATTGAGTATGTTGCAATTGAAGTGATTATAGACTTCTTAACTGTCGGAAGATTTTATTTATTTATTTATAGACTTCTCAAGTTCCTACATAAATGAACTGATTAAATGTGATCCGACAATTCTAGTTTTTCAAAGTTGGTAACATCATGACTGTCTCACCATGTACGTTCTTGCCATTCTCCTTTTCGACTGTCTCTATTCAATTTCCATTGTTTTATTCTAATCGATTACTTTGAACCAGTTTTTCTAAATATAGTTAGAGTTTTTGTCTCAGTCTAGACTAATCCTACAATTTTCAGTTGTCATGTAAATATTACAAAATTACAAGATTGATAGGTACTAGGTCACGTGATTATTACCATTTTTAAAAAAAAAATTATTTGATAAAAGGTTTTCGTGTAATTTGTCATGTATAGTAATTATGAGAGTGTAATCAATAGTATTATTTGATAGATGTTGATTTCAATAATTATGAGAGTGGCTTTTAAGAAATGTAAGATTGTTCTATATTTTTAAACAATGGTCATTTTAAACTTAAGAAAACCGAACTTGCAAAACGAGTTGCAACAAAAAGTCAACGACGACCTTCCTTTTGTTTTATTATGTTAGATAAGTGCATAACTAAAACAGTCTTAGAAAATCTAAATTAAATATAACCTACATCAATGGTTTTATGTGACATACGGCAATGGAAAATTGTGACAACATTGTGAGAAAAATACCAAGATTAAATATCAGAAAGTTACAAAATTTTGACGATAAATAGATCACCATACATATGGATATGTCTCTCAAAAGTTAAGTTTATTGACAAGGAAAAGAAAAGGAGTTTGAGCAAAAGCACATCAGAACCAAAAGAAATGGCAAAGAACCTCCACTCCATCGGCTTCACCGTTCTCTTGCTTGTCATTCTGATGTAGGATTTTTATGTTTTTGAAAAGCATATAAATCCAATCATAGTCCAATCATCCAATGTTATTCAAGTTATAATTATAAATTATGTTTTACAGTTTCATGTTAGTTAATCAAGATTTTAAATATTCTATTAAAATCCTCATTTATTCAAAATTAAACTATGAATGTCATTTGAAATGAATTTCATTGGAGTTTAATGAGTAAATTATCAAAAAAAAATTGCTTCTACATCAGATTTTAATAACTGTCTGGTTTTTTCTTTGAATGTTGCAGAGGTGCTCGTCCATCAATAGAGGATGGTGGAGGATTAAGTGTATTGGAAAGAGCAATGGAGATGGGAGCCATTGCCGATGAAGAGCTCTTCCTTCTCTTACCAGAGTGTCATTAATATAAACCATTGTCCCTTTTGTTCAGACAAGAAAGCTGATTGATTGATTGCTAAGTAAAAGATTATACAAGACAGAGTCAGAGACAGATGCTATTTGGTCGTGTTAACTGTTGTAGTATTTAGTCATGAGTGGATTCATTGATGCTATATAAGGTTATTTTCCCTTCTTTTTTCAAATCCAACTATACATCTCTCTCTTTTTGCCTTTCTGTTTTTGCCACGCTCTGACAAATGCAAAAGATAAACAAAGGGTCATGTTGTAACATCCATAAACCAAAAATTTGGGAATTTTGTCGGTTCAATTTAAGTGAATTGGTTTGGGTCGGTTTAGTGGAAGAGTTTAAAGCAGCCGTCTTCTCTTTGGAGAATTTTCGAGTTCAGATGCTGCAGAGGAGAAAAGTGGAGTTTTTGGAGAGATTTTCGAGTTTTACTGTTCATCGGGGCACTGTTCATCGGGGGTACTGTTCATCGTCGGGATTCGGCACTGTTCATCGTCTTTCTTTTTCCTTCAGTTTCAATCCATTGTCAAGGTGAGTGCATGACTGTGGGTCCGATTTGCTAGATTAGATTTGGTTTGTGATTGTTCTTGATGAGTTTATGTGTTTAATTGTTATTTCATGATATTTTGGTTGTTTCTGTGATGAATTGTGTGTTTGTGTGGTTTAATCTGGTTTATTGAATTTAATTGATTTATTGGTTTAATTGAATTAATTGATTTAATTGGTTTATCTTGGTTTAATTGATTTGATTCTGGTTAATTGGTTAATTGAATTAAAATTTTTAATTCAATTGTTTGATTTATTTTCGGATTTAATTAATTAATGGTTAATTTAATTAATTAATTGATTTAAAATAATTATTTTAATTATTTTAAAATATGGAAAATTATTATTTAATTATGAGAATTATTTAATAATTGAGAAATGAGTTTTAATTATTAAAATTATTTAATAATTGGAAAATGGTATTTAATAATTATTGGAGTTTATAAATATTATTAAATATCTAGTAAATTGCGTAAATGGCTCGTAGGCAGAGTGATTGCCTCACTAAGTATTTATTAAATACTTACGCAACTCCATTCCAATGTGTTGCAGGTAAAAGATTTGTGTGATCGCGGAATCAAGGCTGAAGAGGGGGATGATAGGATGTTTACTGTTTTATTGTTTTGCATTATTTTGCTAGACTTGTTTAATTATTATTTGCTTCCGCTGAGCTGATTTATTTGTTATTGATATTTTATTTATTTAATTTATTTTAAAGACCTTCGCTAGAATTGATTAATATTTATTAAAAAAAAAAATGTTGGTTGTTTCATTTTGGTATCAGAGCCTAGACGGTTTTAGGACTGTTAGAATTGCTAGGCTTTAGTATCATCCCCTTCAGCTACAAGAGATTCCGCGGTGAGTTTATGTTTGTTTTGAGTTTTGGTTGTGTTCTAGTGTGCTCTTTCGGTTCCATGAGTGAGATGGACGAGTAGCTAGAGGTCGTGGCGCGAGAGGGCGCGGTGCTCGAGCCGTGGTGGCAGAGCTAGAGGCCGTGGAGGCCGGGGCCGAGGTCGTGGACTTCGGCGGATTCGGGAGAGAGTGTGGCGCCTAGTGTGGCGACTGCGTCGGTGACCCAGTCGGTATCCGTGGCGAGTGAGGCCAGTGTGGATGCGAGTGTTGGTTTGGGAGCGGGGGCTGCTCCGGGTTGGGGTGGTGCTCCGGCTCAGGGTCTTGATGACTTAGTGGTGGGTTTGCTGACGCAGTTATTGGCTCGTTTTCCGCCAGTGGTTCCACAGGGGGCTCCGGGAGTACCTCCAGTGGCAGAGGTGCAGCAGAGGGCTGCGGGTTGTTCAGCCGCAGGCTGTGGGTTTGGTGGTGCCGCCTATTGGATATGATGGGGCACATGCAGAGGATTGGTACGCCGTACTTTGAGGGCGGAGTTAGCCCAGAGGCGGCAGATGAGTGGCGTCAGAGATTGGAGCGGAATTTCAGTCTATCAGATGTCTGGTTTAGTATCAGGTGGAGTTAGCAGTCCACTATCTGAGTGGTGACGCGCATTTGTGGTGGTTGTAGTTTGTTCTTTTTATCTGTGATAGAATTGTGAGGTTCTCAACGCATGTGTTGCGTAATGACCTTGTTAGTGGGCGGTTTTGAGTCCCACGTTTTATTCGACTCTGGAGCATCGAATTGCTTCATTACACCGGAGCGTGCCGAGAAGAGTGGCATCCGGAGTAGCGCGGGCGAGAGCGCGGGCATGGTCAAGGTGGCGGGAGGTGGATTCTTGTCTACTTTGGGCCGTGCTAGAGGAGTCGAGATCGAGATTGCGGGGCAGTCAATGCCAGCAGACTTAGTCATCAGTCCGGTGGAGCTGTATGACGTTATTCTCGGGATGGACTGGTTGTCACACTACAGAGTTCATCTGGATTGCTACAGAGGTAGAGTGGTCTTCGAGCGAGATGCAGGGAGGTTGGTTTATCAGGGAGTGAGACCGACTTCCGGGAGTATTGTGATATCTGCTATTCAGGCCGAGCAGTTGTTAGAGCGGGGCTGTGAGGCGTATCTGGCGACGATTTCTATGTCTGAGTCAGGAGCTGGAGTTGTTATGGGAGATATTGAGGTTGTCCAGGATTTTGAGGATGTCTTTCAGTCACTGAAGGGATTACCACCATCTCGGTCTGATCCTTTCACGATTGAGTTAGAGCCGGGGACAGCACCGATATCGAAGACGCCTTACAGGATGGCGCCAGCTGAGTTGGCAGAGCTGAAGAAGCAGATAGAGGACCTTTTGTCTAAGGGGTTCATTCGACCGAGTGTTTCACCGTGGGGAGCACCGGTGTTGTTTGTGAAGAAGAAGGATGGAGTTTCAGACTTTGTATCGATTACAGAGGTCTTAACCGAGTCACTGTGAAGAACAGGTACCCACTCCCGAGGATTGATGAGTTGTTGGATCAGTTGAGGGGTGCTACTTGGTTCTCCAAGATTGACTTGGCATCGGGGTATCATCAGATCCCGATAGATGAGGCAGATGTCAGGAAGACTGCTTTCAGGACGCGTTATGGGCATTTTGAGTTTGTGGTTATGCCTTTCGGTTTGACTAACGCGCCGGCAGCCTTCATGAGATTGATGAACGACGTGTTCAGGGAGTATTTGGACGTGTTTGTCATCATTTTCATTGACGATATTCTGGTATACTCGAGGAGTCAGGAGGAGCATGCGACTCACTTGAGGTTGGTTCTGGAGAAGCTTCGGGAGCAGAAGCTTTTTGCTAAGTTGAGCAAGTGCAGTTTCTGGCAGCGAGAGATGGGATTTCTTGGCCACATTGTTTCTGCAGAGGGAGTTTCTGTGGATCCGGCTAAGATTGAGGCTATCAGAGATTGGCCTAGACCTAGTAGTGCCACCGAGATCAGGAGTTTTCTGGGTTTGGCAGGATACTACAGGAGGTTCGTCAAGGGGTTTGCTACCATGGCGCAGCCGATGACGAAGTTGACCGGGAAGGATGTCCCGTTTGTTTGGTCAGCTGAGTGTGAGGAGAGCTTTAGTCAGCTCAAGGAGATGTTGACTACTACACCAGTGTTGGCGTTACCCGAGCCAGGGAAGCCTTACATGGTGTATACAGATGCTTCAGGCATTGGTCTTGGTTGTGTGCTGATGCAGGAGGGCAGAGTGATAGCATATGCTTCGAGACAGTGGCAGGGCAGTGAGCGTAACCGTCCTACACATGACTTAGAGTTGGGAGCAGTGATCTTCGCGTTGAAGATTTGGAGGTCTTACTTGCTAGGTGAGACAGTACAGGTCTTCACGGATCACAAGAGTTTGCAGCATATCTTCACTCAGCCGATGATGAACGCGAGACAGACGCGCTGGGTTGAGTTCTTGGCGGACTATCAGGTGAGCATTAACTACCATCCGGGCAAGGCTAACCTAGTGGCGGACGCGTTGAGTAGACGGAGGTATGATTCCGCAGTTGAGCGAGATGTGGAGTCTCTAGTTGGCGAGATCAGTACCTTGCGTTTGTGTGCCATTTCGCAGGAGCCTTTGGGTTTAGAGGCAGTGGATCAGGCGGATCTACTTAGCAGGATCAGAGTTGCTCAGCAGAGTGATCAGAGTTTGCTAGATGCGACGAGAGTGACTGGTTCTGAGTATGAGGTCTCTGCGAATGGGACTATCTTGGTTCGTGGGCGAGTTTGTGTGCCTAAGGATGTGGAGTTGAGACATCAGATTTTGGGAGAGGCTCACGCGAGCAAGTTTTCCATTCATCCGGGAGCGACCAAGATGTACCATGACCTCAAGAGGTACTATCATTGGGTCGGGATGAAGAGGGATGTAGCAGACTGGGTTGCGAAGTGCAACACTTGTGCCTTGGTGAAGGCAGAGCATCAGGTTCCGGGTGGTCTTTTGCAGAGTTTACCCATTCCAGAGTGGAAGTGGGACAGGATTACGATGGATTTCGTGGTTGGACTACCTGTTTCGAGGACTTTCGATGCTATCTGGGTGATTGTGGATCGGTTGACTAAGTCTGCACATTTCTTGGCCATCAAGAAGACAGATGGAGCTGCTGTCTTGGCTAGGAAGTTTGTGCGAGAGATTGTGAGGCTGCATGGAGTGCCAGCTAGTATTGTGTCAGACCGTGATCCCAGATTCACTTCAGAGTTTTGGAGGGCGTTTCAGGCAGAGATGGGCACTAAGGTGCATCTGAGTACAGCTTATCATCCGCAGACAGATGGTCAGTCAGAGAGGACTATTCAGACTTTGGAGGATTTGCTGAGGATGTGTGTGTTGGATTGGGGTGGCCATTGGGCAGATCACCTGAGCTTAGTTGAGTTTGCATACAACAACAGCTTTCAGGCGAGTATTGGCATGGCTCCATTTGAGGCTTTGTATGGGAGGCCATGTAGGACACCCCTATGCTGGACCCAAGTGGGGGAGCGCAGCATGTATGGAGCTACTTATGTTCAGGAGACGACAGAGAAGGTTCGTGTTGTGAGGCTGAACATGAAGGAGGCTCAGGATAGGCAGAAGAGTTATGCAGATAGACGCAGACGAGAGCTTGAGTTTCAGGTGGAGATAGAGTTTATCTCAAGATGGCTATGTTGAGGGGTCCTAACAGATCCATAGCAGAGAACAAGCTGAGTCCGCGTTTTATGGGTCCGTTTCCAGTAGTGGAGCGAGTTGGGCCATTGGCTTACAGGCTGGAGTTGCCTGAGATTATGAAAGCCTTTCACAAGGTTTTTCATGTGTCGATGCTGAGGAAGTGTCTTCACCCTACAGAGGAGTTAGTGGCTAGGATTCCAGAGGATCTTCAGCCAGATTTGACAGTGCCGGCAGTGCCTGTGAGGATTTTAGAGAGGAGGGAAAAGGTTCTGAGGAACAAGAGGATTCCCTTACTGAGGATTTTGTGGGATTGCAGTGGTTCTACAGAGGAGACTTGGGAGCCAGAGGCAAAGATGAAGTTGAAGTTCAGGAAGTGGTTCGACAAGCAGGTCGAGGAGTGAGCTTATTTCATCTTTGTAGCCTCAGTTGTTATTTTGGCTTTGGTGTTATTGTATTTTCGTTTTCGTTGTAACGATATACATTTTGGAGTTTTAATGAGATGCAGTTTTTCCTCATTTTGCCTTGTGTTGTGAAATGGTATTCGGATGTTACACATGTTTGACCAGTTTTTGGTTGTGAGACGGTCTAATCTTATGGTTATAGACATTTTCCGGAATTTTTACTCTAAGGATTGCGATCCTGAATAACTCATCATGTTTTTGGAGACTTCGTTCTCTGGCAGACTCTCTGGGTGCAAGTAGGCCTCAGTTGAGTGACTTATCTGGGTGCAAGTAGGCCTCAGTATAAGCGTTTAGTTCATCTGGGTGCAAGTGGCCTCAGTATGCAGCGGTTCGTCTGGGTGCAAGTGGGCCTCAGTGCGGACCGGTGTGGACTTGTCTGGGTGCAAGTGGGCCTCAGTACAAGTGGTTTGGGTGATGATGAGTTAGGAGTGAAATTTTCTTGGAACGTGTTTATGACATAAGATATGACGTTTGTCTCGGGGATCAGTGAGGATCTCCGTGTTGCGGCCTTGCGAGGTCGGGTTTTGTGGTCTTTGTGACGTTTGCGTTGGGATTCGAGGACGAATCCAGTTTAGTGGGGGAGAGTTGTAACATCCATAAACCAAAAATAAAAATTGGGAATTTTGTCGGTTCAATTTAAGTGAATTGGTTTGGGTCGGTTTAGTGGAGAAAGCCCTAAAATCAAGTTTAAAGAGTGCAGCCGTCTTCTCTTTGGAGAATTTTCGAGTTCAGAGGCTGTAGAGGAGAAAAGTGAGTTTTTGGAGAGATTTTCGAGTTTTACTGTTCATCGGGTACTGTTCATCGGTACTGTTCATCGGGTTACTGTTCATCGTCGATTCGGCACTGTTCATTGTCTTTCCTTTTTCCTTCAGTTTCAATCATTGTCAAGGTGAGTGCATGACTGTGGGTCCGCGATTTGCTAGATTAGATTTGGTTTGTGGTTGTTCTTGATGAGTTTATGTGTTTAATTGTTATTTCATGATATTTTGGTTGTTTATGTGATGAATTGTGTGTTTGTGTGGTTTAATCTTTAATTGGATTTATTGGTTTAATTGAATTAATTGATTTAATTGGTTTATCTTGGTTTAATTGATTTAATTGGTTTAATTGGTTAATTGAATTAAATTTTTAATTCAATTGTTTGATTTATTTTCGGATTTAATTAATTAATTTAATTTAATTAATTAATTGATTTAAAATAATTATTTTAATTATTTTAAAATATGGAAAATTATTATTTAATTATGAGAATTATTTAATAATTGAGAAATTGAGTTTTAATTATTAAAAATTATTTAATAATTGGAAAATGGTATTTAATAATTATTGGAGTTTATAAATATTATTAAATATCTAGTAAATTGCGTAAATGGCTCGTAGGCAGAGTGATTGCCTCACTAAGTATTTATTAAATACTTACGCAACTCCATTCCAATGTGTTGCAGGTAAAAGATTTGTGTGATCGCGGAATCAAGGCTGAAGAGGGGGATGATAGGATGTTTACTGTTTTATTGTTTTGCATTATTTTGCTAGACTTGTTTAATTATTATTTGCTTCCGCTGAGCTGATTTATTTGTTATTGATATTTTATTTATTTAATTTATTTTTAAGACCTTCGCTAGAATTGATTAATATTTAAAAAAAAAAATGTTGGTTGTTTCACATGTAAAAGTAGATATAGAAGCAGATTCCAACAGTTTTATAACAGGTTGGTCCACAATTAAGAATTTAAGTTAGCGTATGGGTTTAAGACAATAAAAGTTATGCTTCTGATAGTTTTGTTCGTTTATTATATATATAGTAATAAGAAAAATATATCTCTTGATCCATAAATAAAAAACGAACAAAATATATACTTGGAGTTTTGGCTTTTTAAGTTTTTGTGATGATTTATAATTTCAGTTTATTTGATTTTATTTTATCGGATAACCGTACTTTTCTATGTTCAAATGAAAAGTCTTTCTTCGACCAATTTATTAATTGGTTCATGTTTGTTTTTAAATTTAGCTAACGACATTAATAGACTATTCAAAAAGTACATACAGTAATTTCCACACAAAAACTTATAAATACTACACATTGATAACCTTATTACTCCAAAATACATTCTTTAGAAATGAATGTTTTCACAGTTTTTGTGTTAGCTATTTTTGTGTGTTTTGGATTGAGTGAATCTTATCCTTGCAGGTTAAATCATGTAGTGATTAATAACCAACTCGGTTCTGGTATTCCTCTCGACGTGGATTGCAGTGAGAAAGTTACATTCAAAAAAATCAAACATTTAGGAAAGGAATCTCTACAAAAATTCAATTCGAGTTATACTAATCTTCCCCCATTCTCGGATTGGGCATATGAATTGTCTAGAAAGAAAATTATATGCGATTTAAGATTTGTGAAAAAAGATAATCATTCTTATAGTTTTGATAAGCTTAAAGCATATCATTCACAACAGAGAGTAATGTGTAACGAGTTACGTCAATGGATTGCTAGACCTGATGGAATTTACTTCAGAAGAGATTGGCGTTTACCTGTGGGGCATGTACTTAAGTGGACAAGAAAATAAACTTCTCTTTTTTTTTTCTCTTAAATTTACCAATATTTATATAAGTTAGTTGTTTATTTTAAGTCTTATGAACTAATCCTTAAGATCTACTAATAATGTGCAATAATATATGGCAAAATATTGTAATAAAGCATAATTCATTTAATATTTATGTATGCTGTTTCAATTTTTAAGAATAATAACACAATATAAAAAAGAGGAGGTATCAGCAGCCTACACGGTTCTACTTTGAGAAACCTAACATAAAAGCTTAAGATACCCCTGTAACACATTTTATTTGTTTTCATTGGTTTGAATTTTTTTTTCTTTTAATTTAATGACTTTGTAAATATATTATGCTTATGAGAAACATAGCACATAAAAGATAATCAACAAGAAAATCAAAAACAAAAAAAAACCTTCAAACCAAAATCAGAATTATAAATTTAAATAACTAACTATGTATTTAAAAGCAGCCTTATTGGTTGGTCTTGGGGAGTATCACATGCTTTAAGAAAAAAAGAAAAAAAGAGGTTTCTGGTTCGAGAAACTCAACATAAAAGCTTGAGCTTATGTTTTCATTAGTTCTAATTTTTTTTGAATCATTTAAATTTTGGTTTTTAGCTGATTGATTTTGTACCATAGATAGAACAACCATCAAGGGAATCTATTATGCTCGTGAGAAACATAGCACATAAAAGACAACCAACAAGAAAATTAAAAACAAAACAAAAACATATATATACTCTCAATAGCCCATACATGGCGTTGCAGTTCTGCTTCCTCTAGGCTCTCTATGGCGCTAAAAGTTCCGATGATCTTGATCATGACTATGTTAACATGTAGAGATCCTCCAGAGCGAGGCTACACGCAATGGCCAAGGTAAATACCTTCCTCGTGGACTCGTGGATGCAAAAGTACTCATATGTTCACAGGCTCAAACAACGATTGTTGTCACTGTTGCGTAACCAAGACATTCTTCGATCAAATAATATATTCATCATTAGTTGGTAAATAGCTTAATTTAATTTGACTTGACGTAATTACTTACAGATTCATAACTTTTGGGGAAAAAAACAATGAATTCCAGCATATATAAGCTAATAACAATTATTACATAATCTATATAATCAAAGCACTTGAACTCTATAACATAATATTATTAAGATAAATAACATGGTTCCAAAGTCCAAACTCCAAACAATACAAGCTTGACATATAATATAATAATAATAATAATAATAAAGATAAATAGCATGATATATGGTTTCAAACACTACGTACAAAAGCTTATTTAGTTCATATGACATAGTGCATGTAACCGAAACGATAAAGAGCTTAGACCGCTGTCGTCCAAGCCTCCAGAATCGTCTGGCTTTTGGGTTTTGGTGACCTAAGCTGGATAGACCGCTTCCACTTGAAGAAAACGAAAAGTATATAACAAGGAAAGCCAAAAAGGACCGCCATTATCAACAGCGATGGGATTACCATCTGAGTACTCACAGCGTTGAGAAACATCGAAATGCCGTAAGAACAGAAGAGGGGAACTGAGATCAATATGTAACACCAGATGTATTCCCGACCAAGGGGTAGAAGAACGAGGGTCAGGGTAAGAGACAGCCAAAACGCCAACGTATTGAATCCCGAATGGAGCATCAATAGTATGGGCGACCTATGTGGTTCAACGCGACTATCTGGTTCAACGCGACTTTCTGAGTCACTTGGCGACTTCGCTTCATAAGTGGTCGACATGACAAGTGTGCTTATAACAAGAAGCGCGTTTCTGGTACCGTCGGATATGGCGCTCCTGTAACGTACCGTTGTGATGGAGCAGTATTCTCTGAACGTAATCGGTGATCTTAAATACTGAGAGGAGGTCTTGACTTTTGATAGAGCATCCTTGCTCTTCCCTCCCGATCTTCTTATGATTTTTTCAGTATCGAAGTTCATATGATTACCCTTTGCTCGGACCATATCCAGGGGTGTAAAACCATCTTTGTTCTGCATGTTCCGGTCTAGCAAAAGGCATTTCAATAGAAGTTTGACTGCCTGTACAAATTCCCACACGAAACTTCATATATCGTATAACAGAATTATATATATATATTTACCCAAAAAAAAAAAGAATTATATATATATGTATTATAAGCGGGTTAATTATCAATCACTTTAGCTTTAATATATCAGTTTCAAACTATGGGAAAAGAAAAACGAATATTTGGAATCATGTACATGCCTGGTGTTTGTCATCAGATGCTGCAATGTGCAAGGCAGTGTTGCCTTCCAGATCTTGTTTGTTTAGGACCTCAGTCTCCATTGACGCAGCGTTACGGTGGGTCATTCTTTGGATCCATCCGGTCAGTACTTTGAGCTCTCCATATCTACCGTGCCAGACCGCGACGTGTAGAGCCGTCTCACCTTTTACGTTCACGTCCACGATGCTCATGGGAGAAGCCATGAGAAACTCCGTGAGGAGATCTACATCACCTTTCTCCACTACATGATGCAGTGGTGTTGCGCCTGTTTGAACAAAAATATATTTTGTTGTTACCTATCTGAAGAACGTCCGGTCTAGAATTATATGATTCAATAAGAAAAATAAAAAAATATATATATACCTCCTCTGCCGCGGAGGCGAACATGACTGGGATCCATCTTCACGAGCTCTTGTGCTATCTCCACTTGACCGTTTTCCACGGCAAGATGCAAGGGACTATACCCTCGGGTATTTAGTTTACGTGCAAAGGAGGGCATTAAAACGATTAGCTCTAGAGCCATGGCTAATTTGCCAGTAGCTGATGCTTCGTGTAGCGGAGAGTGTACAAAAGGAAAAGCGTCGATGTTTTTTAGGATGAAGGGGTCTCTACCAATCAAAGAATACAACGTATCCACTGACTGAGCGACCCATGCGAGTTTGGTATCCATTGAAAGAGAAGAAATGTTGTTTGTTTTTCAGAATAGTGTATTCCTTGTAAGAAGATACAAACTGTATGTTCTAATTATAGAAAGTTTTTCTTACATGCATTTTGGACACTATAGACTCCTCAACTGTACATTAATGAACATGGTAAATGTGATCCAACGATTTTTTTTCCAAAAAGTTGGTATCGTATTGACTTTTATTCACCACATGCCTTGTTGTCCTTGCCATGCTCATTTTCGCGCGACTGTCTCCATATTCGATTATACAGTTGCGTTGTTTTCTTTTATCTAGATTTTGATTGCGAAATTTAACTAATTCAAATAAATTTGTGTAATTCTTTTAATTATTTATTTTTTACTACATTGGATGATTTCTACTAATAAAAAATATAAATGACCCAAACAGGGAATTATTATTGGAAAAAGAAAATCAAAATGTGTATGTTGCAATTGAAGTGATTTTTTAACTGTCCGAAGATTTTTTTTTCGTATATAGACTTCTCAACTTCCTACATCAATGAACTGATTAAATGTGATCCGACGATCGTAATTTCAAAAGTTGGAAACATCATGACTTTTTCTCACCACGTACGTTCTTGCCATTCTCCTTTTCGACTGTAATTTCTGTTGTTTTTTCTAATCGTTTACTTTGAACCAGTTTTTCTAAAGATAGTTAGAGTTTTTTTGTTTCAGTCTAGACTAATCCTACAATTTTCAGTTGTCATGTAAATATTACAAAATTACAAGATTGACTAGGTGGTTGTCCCGCACCTTGTGCGGGTACAATATTTTTTAAACATATTAATTAATTAAAGATTTTAATAATATAAGTAGTAGAAATTTTGATTGTATTCATCGTTTTTTCAGATTTCTTATTTTTGTAATCATGATCTGTCTTATTTTTTCTTCTCTTTCTCATTCTTTTACATAATCATCGTCATTCACTTTCTTTAAAATATGCAAAAGATTTTCCACTTCTTGTTTTCTCCTCCCTTATTCTTCTCCAGTTATCCCATCTTCTTCTTCTCTAAGAGCGTCCACATAATATTTTTACAAACCAATTAAATTTCGTCAAATCAGCATTTCTAAATTTAAAAACGAAAATTAAATGAATTTTGTGAATATTAACATTATTATATTAAACAATATAGAAATTGTACTACTGTTAATTTTAATACTAACATTATAGCACCAATTACCTAAACCAACTGTGTTTTATAGTTTAATGGAAATTCAACATAAAAGAGTTAAACTAACAAAAAAGAAAAGAAAAAGATAGAAAGAAATTATGATTAAACGGAAAACTCAATATTGGAAAAGCTAAACTAACTAATTAAAATAAAAAGGAAATTAACAATTGTTGGGTATAATAAATTCATTAACCAGTCGCTCCTTAAACTCTATTATAAGCTGGAGATATGACCGACTTACGACGAGGTCGACGGGTCGATCCTACTGCAAATTTCCTAAAAGGTCTCAAGCATCGACATACCTCTATAACGAGGTACAACCGACAATATTCACTAATGGGCTAGGAATTGTACAGAGGCCAACGTACCTCCTAAAAGGAAATTATGATGAGTGACCGACGTACCTCCTAGTAGGAAGTTATTACAAACGTCTAAGCCCAACCCAATAAGGGTTAGGATTGACGAACATTTATAAATAAGAGATCCTTCAACAATGACAAGGGGAGAAGACATTCTGAAGAACCCTAAGGGTTATACTCTCGCCGCTCTTTAAAGGTAGAGCCACATAATCTAACAAATAATCTAGGAAGAAGCCATAGAGACCATTATCTCGCCGTTGCCAAAGAGCATTGACGAGATCTACGTCAATACCTCAAAGCATTGACGAAGCCATCCCATGCTACGAAACACTAGTAGGATCATCTGCAATCCATATAGGCATTGAAAAAGATCATCAATGGTGCTAAAGGTATCAAGCGATGATCGACCAATGACAACCAACCTAGGACGATCGACAAACGACAAGGAAGTTCCTAATAGTTATATTCTCATCGCCTCCTAACAGCAATGATAGAGAAATTAGCTACGACAGTCGACCATAAGTAATTGTACATCGACAGAGCTTGGTTCTATATCGACCCTCACGAATAACCTAAAAAGGTCGAGCTATGATGAACAACTACGAGGGTCTACCTATGACAAGAAACCTACGAGGGACGATCTACGGAGTGTGACCTAAGAGGAGCTACCTACAGGCAGAGATCGTCGATTGTACTAAAGGTACCAAACGACGATCAACCAATGACAACCGACCTAGGACGACTGACCTTACCTTGACAAAGATTGGTTCTAGATCCACCTACGAGGGTCTATCTACGACGAGCGACTTACACAAGGGTTGACCAAAAACAAGCAATAAAGCATAGAAAACCCTAGTACCTACTGACTCTTCACCTCTCGACAAGCAGCGATAGATAACTGATGATAAAAGGTTTGTGTGTGGATGTGAAAAGATATGAAATGAGATGAGTGGAATGCAATCAGTGGTATATGATGGTGGTAAGATGCAAACACAAACACAGTCAACAATTCCCTTTAACCATGATAGTTGATGTAGTACAAAGGGTTATCAATCCAAAATGGGAAACTTGTCACTCTATGAGAATATGAAACAACCAGAAAGTCAAGCAAGCAGTAAAGATTTGAAGTAACACTAACAACCTAAAAATAAGAAAAGCAGTGCAATAAAAGTAAACAAAGCAGTGAAGTGTCAGCTCGACCAAGAGCTCGAGTCGAGTAGAGCAAAGTACCAGCTCGATCGAGTTTAGGGACGAGTTGAGACAAACAAAGCTAAAGGTGACGACTTTAACAAGATAAAGAGAGAATTAGGGTTCAAGACAGGGTTTTGCAATCAAAGGAATCTACACTTAATCAATCTAGCTCTTAAAACTCCTTGTATCAAGGCTTCTCTTGATATTGGGCTTCTCAATGCCTAGCCAACCCTTTCCCAAGGTGAGGCTATCAACCAAGGAATGATCTCAGAAACAGGGGGTTAGCCAGTGAGAATCAAACCTTGGAGGCTATAGGATCATTGCCCAAACTAATCCATCCAACCCCTTAGACCTCTATTGTCTAGAGCAAGAGATATTGGAGCTCTTAGTGGATCTTTTCCAGCGAATGCCATCACTTTCGTGTGGGGAGTCGCCTAAGGACTTACAAGCCAGGGGTAGTGGTCATGTAGCCTTAAGATCTATCCAAAAGAGAGAGAATCTAGATTAAGACCATAAGCTAGAAGGATTAAGCATATGAAACCTCTAATCTATCCCATCTCAAACCCTAATGGGTAACTACTCACTACACATGAATGTAAACACAAGCAAATGCAATAAAAGAGACATCATAAGAAAGAGGAGATGAAATTAAACAACTTTTATTGAAATAAGCAAGTGCAAATACAAAGAGATTATCCAGGATCTAAGATTCAAGAAGCAAGAGCTTCAAGAACACAAAGATGGGATTAGATTCTAAAAAGTAAAAGACAATAAATTAAAAGAAACTAAAACAAAATAATCTAAAGCTTGGTGGTTTTTTCGTGGCTTAGAGCCTTTAAATACAAGAGGATTAGGTTTAGGGTCAAAGGAAAGTCAAGGGGGAAGCAACATTTTTCGGGTTTGACTTTGACTTCCAGCTCGATCGAGTTGAAGCTTGGCCGGTCGAGTTGAGGAACTCGACCGGTTGGTCGAGTGGACGGTCGAGCTGGTCTTCAAGATGGCTTCTCCCTTCTTCCTTTGCGTATCCAGTTGAGCTGCTTCCATGTGCCAAGTCCCTCCATGCTCCTTGTCCCATATGCTCCAGAATGCTCCAAAAGACCTATTTCAAATGCAACCTAAAACTAACATGAATGCATAAGAAGAGAAAAGGAACAAGATATGATGCAAATGGAAGCTAAAACTATGCAAAAGATGCATAAAAGATGTGCTAAAACTATGTAAAATGCAAGTACATCAACACCCCCAAACTTGAACTTTGCTTGCCCTCAAGCAAACAAATAGAACAAGAAAGAGATGAGGTTTGAAAATAGCTGATTCAACACTTAAAAACATGTCCTCAAAAGCGATTTGCTAAATGTCCAACTTAGAGATTCTAGAATGCAACAAGGTGAGAGATATTCATTAAGATTTAACCATGCTTATCAACATCAATCCCACTTCACAGTCACTCAAACAATGCATTCAAATCAGCAAATCCCTTTAACATTCATTAAGCAAAAACAGTGAACCAAAAACATGCAAGATCAATCAACTCATTTGGTTTCAAGGGTTTATGGGTTAAGAGACAAAGAGGGTCTCTTTTGTATGGTGGTTTAGTAACAGGGATCTCTCAAGAAAGTGGCTTTGCTTTGGCAGAAGGCTAAGTGTTAGAACCAAAGATGATGCAAGAACAGCAGCTCGAGCCGCCTAATCCTAACTCGATCGAGTTCAACACTTAGAGCTTTTTAGAACAAAATCCTAACTACCCTTTTTGGCATTTCGCCTTTGAAACTGAGGAGCTTTGCTCACTTTTCTTTTAAGAACTTCCTAGGGAGAGGCTTCTTGAGGTAACATCTAGCGGTTTGGGATTTTCTAAACACTTAGGGAACTTTTCTTTCCTTTTTGGACACTTGAGGCTTTGCCTTCTTTTCATTCTACTTAGAACCCTTTTTACTTTCTTTTTTAACTTCCCAAACCTTTACTAGACCCTTTTTAACACTGCCAACTCCCTGGACTTAACCAAACTCTTTTTCCTTTGGGTTTTTCCCAACTTTTACCACTTTTCTGGTTTTTACACCCAACTCGATCGAGCTCGAGTTGGCACCCCCAAACTTAGCCTGAAAACAATCCCAAGAGAACTAGACAACTAGAACTACTGCCCCTGCCGGTTTAAACACAACACCTTATGCTAAGCAAAGCCAAGAAAGGTTCTCACATTCGCACAAGAGATAATAAGGGGTTTGAAATGAAAAGGCTTAGGTTTAAGGTGTGGTAACTGTCTCAAAGATAGAGATCAGCTATCTGGACAAGCAAAGGGATATGAAAATGGTAAAGAATGTCCAGATATGTATGTGGTAGCCATGAGTTGAAATCAAATGCAAGCATTGGTAATTAAAGATCAAGTTATGGTTCAAATAGATAGGGAAATGCATCAAATCACAGCAATGGTTGAATGAGATGTGCATGCAGTGATATGATCAAGATAAACATGGTTCTTGCTGCTCAATCAATCTCACCCTAATGCACAAAAGAATCTAAAAACAGGGCACTCAAGAAATCGCAAAAGATGGACAAGTTTTCAAAGTCAAATCAACAATGCAAGTGAAAAATGCAATCCTAAACAAGTCTAACAAATATGAATGCAAAAAGATGAAAATATTTTTGGATTTTTTGAAAATTTTATGATTTTTTTGGTTTTTCTATGCAAAAGATAAATGAAAAACTAAGAACAAAGAAAACAAGGTTAAATCATCTCTTGAACCCTCCCCCAAACTTAAATCACACAGTCCCTTGTGTGAGAAAAATTTAGTGAAAGATTCAAGAGGGCAAAACCAAGAAAAAACAAGAACAAAGCAAGAAAATATGAAATGGTATATACAAGGGTTGGTGTTTGGATACCTCAGTGTCCCCCAAAGAACTGGGAGACTAGGTCGTGGTCTGGAGATGGGAGACGGCCATCAGGAGCACTCCATGCAACTGGGTTGCCTCTTGCGGCTCACTCGATCGAGCTTGCTCTTGACTCGATCGAGTTGTGCCTCGAGTTAGCCACTTCCTTCCTAAAACCTGCTCCTGTGAGACTCAGCCAAGAAAAATCATAAAAATAAAAGGATAAAGTATAAATGCATAAGATAGACATGGGAATTCCTCCCAAGTGAGCTTGTTTTAGGTCTCTTAGCTTGACCTTACCCCTTTTAGGCCGGGGTTGGATCTTCTAGAGGAGTGATGATCTCCTCTGTGGGGGTCATTCCTAGATATGGCTTGCATCTATGTCCATTCACTGTGAATTCCTTCCCCTCTTGATTGAGCAAAGTGAGGGACCCATAGGGTAGAACTTCGTGAATCTTGAATGGTCCCGCCCACTTTGACCTCAGCTTCCCGGGAAACAACCTTAGCTTGGAGTTATACAAGAGCACACTGTCCCCAACCTTGAAATCCTTAAGGCGAATCAGTTTGTCGTGGGCTGCCTTGGTTCTCATCTTGTAAATCCTAGAGTTCTCATAGGCATTCATTCTTATCTCCTCCAGCTCAAACAAGTTCATTACCCTCCTTTCTTGTGCTGCCTTTATATCAAAGTTCAGCATCTTTACTGCCCATAAAGCCTTATATTCGACCTCCACAGGTAAGTGGCAGTCCTTCCCATACAGCAAATTGAAAGGAGACCTTCCAATGGGGGTTTTGTAGGCTGTTCTATAAGCCCAAAGTGCCTCATCAAGCCTTGCTGCCCAGTCTTTCCTAGTGAAGCTCACAGTCTTCTCCAATATGGCCTTGATCTGTCTGTTGGAGACTTCAACTTGCCCACTGGTTTGAGGGTGATAAGGCGTGGCGACCTTGTGTTTGACTCCATGGCTTCTCATCAACTTTTCAAACACCTTGTTGATGAAATGGGAGCCTCCATCCGAAATAACAACCCTTGGGATGCCGAACCTTGGAAAGATGATGGTTCTGAAAAGCTTGACAACCACCTTGGCGTCACAGGTTGGGCAGGGAATGGCTTCAATCCATTTGGATACATAGTCTACAGCAACCAAAATGTAGTTGTGCCCGTTTGAAGAAGGGTTTGAAAGGTCCCATGAAGTCTATTCCCCATACATCAAAGATCTCAACCTCTAGAATTGGGTTTAGTGGCATCTCGTCCCTCTTGGTGATCCCTCCTTTCCTTTGGCACGGATCACACTTGGCAATGTAGTCTGCTGCATCCTTAAACAAAGTAGGCCACCATAAACCAGATTGCAAAACCTTAGTTGCTGTTTTGAATGTAGCAAAGTGACCTCCGTAAACTGACCCATGGCAATGCTCTAGAACTCCTTGCACATCCTCTTCAGCAATGCATCTCCTGTAAATGCTGTCTGGTCCTCTCTTGTACAGGTAGGGCTCATCCCAATAGTAATGCCTAGCATCCTTGAAGAATTTCTTTCTTGTAAGCATCAAAGCTACTAGGGACTTCTCCGGACACCATGAAGTTCACTATATCAGCATACCATGGCAAATTCTCATCACGCAGAGCCTTAACTTCTTCCAGCCTGGCTTTCTCATCAAAACTCTCCTTCAAGATCATGATTGCCATAAGCTGTTCTTCAGGCATAGAATCATTGATGGGGATCATGTCTTCAACTCGCATCCTAGAGAGATGATCAGCAACTCCATTTTCTACTCCCTTTTTGTCCACAACTTCTATATCAAACTCTTGAAGCAAAAGGATCCATCTGAGAAGTCTTGGCTTTGTATCTTTTTAGCGAAGATGTGTCTAAGGGCAGCATGGTCAGTGTGCACAATCACCTTGGATCCAACTATATAGCTTCGAAACTTCTCAAAGGCAAAGACTATGGCAAGGAGCTCCTTCTCTGTGGTTGCATACTTGCACTGAGCATCATCCATAGTCTTGCTTGCATAGTAGATGACATTGAGTTTCTTGTCTATCTTTTGGCCAAGCACTGCTCCTACTGCATAGTCAGATGCATCACACATAATCTCAAATGGGTGATCCCAGTTTGGAGCTTGTACTATTGGCGCAGACACCAGAGCATCCTTCAGCAAGGTCCAAGACTTGTGGCATTCTTCATCAAACTCAAAATCTGTCTCCTTGCATAGAAGCCTTGTCAAGGGTCTTGCTATCTTTGAGAAATCCTTGATGAATCTTCTGTAGAACCCTGCGTGACCCAGAAAACTCCTTATGTCCTTCACAGTCTTGGGAACAGGGAGCTGCAACATGACATCCACCTTAGCTCGATCGAGCTCGATCCCTTTCTCGGAAATCTTGTGTCCAAGCACAATCCCTTCTCGAACCATGAAGTGGCACTTCTCCCAGTTGAGTACTAGATTGGTCTCCTCACACCTCTGCAACACCCTGCACAAGTTAGACAAACATGAGGAGAAGGATGCTCCATAGACTGAGAAATCGTCCATGAAGACTTCTACCATCTCCTCTATCAGATCTGAAAAAATGGAGGTCATGCACCTCTGGAAAGTAGCTGGAGCATTGCACAGCCCAAATGGCATCCTTCGATAAGCAAAGGTGCCATAAGGGCATGTGAAAGTGGTCTTCTCCTGATCATTAGGGTGGATCGGGATTTGGAAGAAACCACTGTAGCCATCAAGAAAACAATAAAAAGGGTGGTTTGCCAATCTTTCTAACATCTGATCAATGAAAGGGAGAGGGAAATGATCCTTTCTAGATGCTGAATTTAGCTTCCTATAGTCAATACACATGCGATGCCCCACTATTGTTCTAGTGGGAATCAGCTCCTCTTTGTCGTTTTTAATGACAGTGATCCCCCCTTTCTTTGGGACGCAATGAACTGGAGATATCCAAGTGCTATCACTGATGGGATAGATTATCCCAGCATCAAGCAACTTGAGTATCTCTTTCTTCACTACTTCCTTTAGATTGGGGTTCAACCTTCTCTGAGGTTCAATGCTTGACTTACTTTCATCCTCTAGATGAATCCTATGGATGCATAGGTCAGGGGAGATCCCCTTGATATCATCTAGAGTGTAACCTATTGCCTTTCTGTACTTTCTCAATTCAACAAGCAAAGCACTCAACTGTTCAGGTTCCAAATCAGAGTTCACAATGACAGGGTAAGTTGAGTTTTCACCCAGAAATGCATACCTGAGGCCCTCAGGCAAAGGTTTGAGGTCGACTTTAGGCGCCTTAAGCTCAGACCAATCTCCTTGAGCTTGCTCCTTGCTCTCAGTCCCCAGCTCGATCGAGTTCGTTTGTTCGAAACTCGACTCGATCGAGTTCTTGATCGAGCTCACTGCCATGACTTCGCAAACTGGCCTGTCCAATCCTCAATGCTCAGAATGTTTGGAACTGGTCTGAAGGTGTCAAGGAGCTTCTTGTACTCATCAGTTTCTGAGCTCACATATCCCTCTGAAGAATCCTTGGTCAAAGCAACTTGTAGTGGATCCTCTGTTGATAACTCTTCTAGAAGCTCATCTGCCAACTGATCCATTTCCTCAACATAAAAGAGCTGACCTTCTATAGTTGGTTTCCTCATTGTATCTTTTATATCAAACTTCATCTTCAGGTCCTTTCCCAAGTTTAACTCAATTGTTCCTTCACAGACATCTATCATTGCTCTTGCTGTAGCTAGGAATGGCCTTCCTAGAATCAATGGATCTGTTGGTTCCTCATCCATCTCAAGCACAATGAAGTCTGTGGGGATTTCCACATTCCCTATCCTCAAAGGCAGGTCTTCAAGCATCCCAGTTGGTAACCTTATCGATCTATCTGCCAAGACTAGTGAGATTCCGCAGGCTTGGTACTTGTGATATCCCAGTCTCTTTGCTACAGACAAAGGCATGAGGCTGACAGATGATCCTAGATCGCAGAGACTGTTTTTGAAAGATAGGGGTCCTAACATGCAGGGCAAAGTGAAACTCCCCGGATCTTCCTTTTTGTCGGAGATGACCTTCCGCTGAATGATTGCACTGCACTCGCGGTCAACACTACCATCCCTTGTGCTTCCCTGGTTCTTTGCTGAACAGCATCCTTCAGAAATTTCTGATAAGGCGGAATGAGCATCAAGGCGTCGATGAAGGGCAACTTCAACTCAAGCTGTCTCATTAGTTCATCAAACTTGGCCTTGTGTGCTTCCAACAGTTGTTTCTTGAACCTTCCTGGAAAGGGCAGAGGGGGCTTGTATGGTGGTGGTCCTGCTGGAGTGTCTTTCTTCTTTGCAACAGGTTTAGCTGGTTGGCTGGAGTTTGCTTTGTCTGTTCTCTTCTGAGCTCGATCGAGCTCTGGTTTGTCTTGCAGTGTCTCAGTTTCTCCAGCTCGATCGAGTTCTGGTTCAGGGTTTTGTTCCAGCTCGATCGAGTTCGGGGTCGAGTTATCAGCATAGTCGACTAAATCCTCCCCTTCCTCGTCATCGATGTCCACAGCGATTTGGGGTGGGCTACCTCTACTAGGGAATTGCCTCCCACTTCTTAGTGTAACTGCTTGGGCATACTCTTGTGGTGAAGAGGATGATGCACTTGAAGACTCAATGATTTGGACTCTTGAAGTCAATGACTCTAGTTTAGAGTGTATCTCAACCAGCTTGTTGTTCATTTCCAGAGAACCTTTGGCTTGCCCTTGTAAAAGTTGTTGGAGCATTTCCTTCATATCCCAATCATGAGTTGGTTGGGTATGAGTAGTCCTTGTGTTGAAGCCTTGTGGAACACTTTGTTGTGGTGCGGCCAGGGGGCTTGATAATTGTTGTATCGCCCTTGTTGAGGATTCCTATAGCTTCCTTGTCTATTTTGAATGTAGCAAACTTCTTGTGTTGTCTCCTCCCCTTCCTGGTCCTTGACTAAGGTTTGTTCTGAGACATAGTTGACATGCTTGGCAGGGAATTGGCTAGGATCAGTTTGTCCAACTTCGAGTTGAGTGCAAGCATGTCTTTTCTCATTTGAGCGTCCAGCTCGATCGAGCGTGCGGTCGAGCTCCATCTGTACTTTCATAGTGCTCTCCATAGCATTCTGTTGATATGGCCATGTTCTCCACAAGTTGCCAGCCATCATCTACATCCTGGTTGAGGAAGTTCCCATTGCTAGCTGTGTCTAGCATCTCCCTATACCTAGGCAAGCATCCTCTATAAAGAGTGGAGAGTAGTGATTCATTGTTGAATCCATGGTGTGGGCACTGACTTGTGTAGCCTTTGAACCTCTCCCAAGCCTCTGCGAATGTCTCATTGTTTCGCTGGATGAAGCTGGATATCTCTCCTCTAAGCTTGGCTGTGCGACCGGTGGAGAAAAACTTAGCAAGAAAGGCCTTCTTGCATTCATCCCAAGTGGTGATTGTGCCATGGGGCAAGCTCTTCTCCCATTGGTGAGCTTTGTCAGCTAGAGACATAGGAAAGAGTCTCAGCTTGATGGCATCTTCAGAGACACCATTGATCTTTGTCAAATCACAAAGCCTATCAAACTCATCAAGGTGGTCAATGGGGTCTTCACTTGGCAATCCATGGAACATCTTGTTCTGGACAAGGTTGATCATTCCCAGCTTGATCTCAAAGTTGTGGTTCTGCACTGGTGGTGGAACAATCCCTTGTCTCTGTTGGTGGCGGTTTGGAGCATCTCCTTGACCAATCGGTCGAGTTTGCCTAGCTCGACCGAGTCCATGCCCAAAGGGTTTCCATTCCCCTCTGGTACATCCATTGTATCAGCAACAAGCACCTCAGGTTCCTCTTGTACCCTCTGTGACCTCTGAACCCTCTTTCTACCCGTTGTAATGTCTAGCTCGACCAAGTCTTCAGTTGACCGACTCGATCGAGTTCGCATACACCTGCAAAAAGAGACAAAAACCCAGCAGTACAATAGAACAGGGGTGGTATAGCTTGATCGTCCAAGTGTGTTTGAAACTCAAATGCAACAAAAATATTCCCAAATCGGCAACGGCGCCAAATTGATGATAGGATTTGTGTGTGGATGTGAAAAGAATGAAATGAGATGAGTGGAATGCAATCAGTGGTATATGATGGTGGTAAGATGCAAACACAAACACAGTCAACAATTCCCTTTAACCATGATAGTTGATGTAGTACAAAGGGTTATCAATCCAAAATGGGAAACTTGTCACTCTATGAGAATATGAAACAACCAGAAAGTCAAGCAAGCAGTAAGAGATTTGAAGTAACACTAACAACCTAAAAATAAGAAAAGCAGTGCAATAAAAGTAAACAAAGCAGTGAAGTGTCAGCTCGACCAAGAGCTCGAGTCGAGTAGAGCAAAGTACCAGCTCGATCGAGTTTAGGGACGAGTTGAGACAAACAAAGCTAAAGGTGACGACTTTAACAAGATAAAGAGAGAATTAGGGTTCAAGACAGGGTTTTGCAATCAAAGGAATCTACACTTAATCAATCTAGCTCTTAAAACTCCTTGTATCAAGGCTTCTCTTGATATTGGGCTTCTCAATGCCTAGCCAACCCTTTCCCAAGGTGAGGCTATCAACCAAGGAATGATCTCAGAAACAGGGGGTTAGCCAGTGAGAATCAAACCTTGGAGGCTATAGGATCATTGCCCAAACTAATCCATCCAACCCCTTAGACCTCTATTGTCTAGAGCAAGAGATATTGGAGCTCTTAGTGGATCTTTTCCAGCGAATGCCATCACTTTCGTGTGGGGAGTCGCCTAAGGACTTACAAGCCAGGGGTAGTGGTCATGTAGCCTTAAGATCTATCCAAAAGAGAGAGAATCTAGATTAAGACCATAAGCTAGAAGGATTAAGCATATGAAACCTCTAATCTATCCCATCTCAAACCCTAATGGGTAACTACTCACTACACATGAATGTAAACACAAGCAAATGCAATAAAAGAGACATCATAAGAAAGAGGAGATGAAATTAAACAACTTTTATTGAAATAAGCAAGTGCAAATACAAAGAGATTATCCAGGATCTAAGATTCAAGAAGCAAGAGCTTCAAGAACACAAAGATGGGATTAGATCTCTAAAAAGTAAAAGACAATAAATTAAAAGAAACTAAAACAAAATAATCTAAAGCTTGGTGGTTTTTTCGTGGCTTAGAGCCTTTAAATACAAGAGGATTAGGTTTAGGGTCAAAGGAAAGTCAAGGGGGAAGCAACATTTTTCGGGTTTGACTTTGACTTCCAGCTCGATCGAGTTGAAGCTTGGCCGGTCGAGTGGACGGTCGAGCTGGTCTTCAAGATGGCTTCTCCCTTCTTCCTTTGCGTATCCAGTTGAGCTGCTTCCATGTGCCAAGTCCCTCCATGCTCCTTGTCCCATATGCTCCAGAATGCTCCAAAAGACCTATTTCAAAGGACCAAACATGCATATGTATGCAAATGCAACCTAAAACTAACATGAATGCATAAGAAGAGAAAAGGAACAAGATATGATGCAAATGGAAGCTAAAACTATGCAAAAGATGCATAAAAGATGTGCTAAAACTATGTAAAATGCAAGTACATCAATAACCTAGGATAACCTAGCTACGACGAGCGACAGACGAGATTCTCTTAAATTAATCTTTGATATTGACTTATTGTATATCGATATTCCATTGATTAATAAGATCGTCATTCCGTTTATTTCACTTGCGAACCGGTTAAATTTTGCCCAAACAACAATTTAGCTATTTCAAGATTTGGAATTGCTATAAATAGTCTTCTAAACTTAGAATACACATATACAATTTCTAAAGTCAATCATATTCTTCAAGAGAGAGAGGGAGAGAGTTTGTTAAAATAACTATGTCTTTTTGCATCTTTTTGTCTTCGATGAACTCACTAAAAATTTTAATAAGAAGGAAATACTTGCTAGAGTCATCCACTTCTGAGAGGCAAGAAACCCTAAAAAAGTAGATCTCCTTATGGGATATGAACTGCTTCTAATCGATTAAAAGGTAAAGATACCAACATTATTTTCCAATTTCCAATTGAAAATTAAATCATCATCAGCTTATAATACTATGTTTTATCATAAATTGATTGTTAGTTTTATTGATAAACGAAGAAAATTAAAACACATAGAAGCGATGAAAAAATCAAGGAGATGGTGATGAAAATAGACGGCTAAACCGAGGACGGAGATGGATATAATGGTGAAAAATATGGATAACCGATGATGGAACCAACCTGTATCTTATTTTACTTGAAGAAATAGAGACCACATATATATACACACAGTAAAGAGTGCTGAAACTCACCAAACATGGTCACAGTTCAGTCTCTGATTGGGAATAGTAGGCAATTAACAGTTGAAAACTCGAGTATGATCATAATTAAACTCAAAGAACTTAGACGGTCACATACATATTAATTCATGACGATGCATGGCATGCATGCACAACCATATAGAAAAAGAACCAGTCATCAACCTTTTCCCTCGCAACTTTTTACGAAATTTCAATTTCAATCATATAATCAAAGTGGGAGATCAAATGTTTTGGGTAAATATGTTTTCGTGAGTTTTTAAATGGTTTGATTCGGTTCGTAACTTCTTCTCCCAAAAGGTTACTGAGACTCATTCTCCTCTGCATTATTGCTAAGCTCTGCTGGTAGAATAATCATTTTTTCTACATTTTCAAAGAGTTCATGAAAAAAATGTGAGTTTGCCATAAGTTTATTGAGAAGCAGGGCTTGATCCAAGACTCATGTTAGAAAGACATATGAAGAAGATATGGAAAACTGTTTCTTTGATGATCACAATGATTGCAGGAGGTGTATCAATTCCATGAGCAGCAGAGTTTGATCGGTGAAGACAGTTTTTGCCATCAAATTCAAGAGGAAATATTTCATTTTTGGTGTAGTATAAACTTGCCAAATATGATTACTCGATTTGATTAGAAACATGATATGAGGTGAGTTAATAACCATTTTTGCAATTAAATAAACACTAACTGAATTTTGCAATTTCTAAACAAATATGTAACTAACAAATTTTTTGAACAAGAATGTATTTATAAACAGATTTAAGGCGGAAATATTCAAGTAAACATTAATATAGAAATACTTCTAAAAAGAAATGTATACCATAGCACATAAAAACATGACAAAATTACTAACAAAAAATCAACATTGAACAAACAATGATTTAAGATTTTCTTTAAGCCATAAAAAAGAATATACATAATTTATATTATATAAAAGCTAAATATATATTATTATGATCAAAGTTTATAAACTAATAACACATGTGTAAGTTAAATGTACTGAAAAATAAATTATATGTTGTTTATAGCATTTTAAGTTCTAACATAACGAATTGAAGTTATTTTAAATAAACATTGTGTTACATACAAATATGTTGACATCTAATTTTAAGAATTTCACTATACATATTTAAAAATATATTTCTGTTTAGAAAATGATTAACACGTCACAATAGTTCATAAATTAACATTTTATATATATATATATATTACTAATAAAGTTTGTCCTATTATAATGATTTGAATATCTTCAAGTAAGTTTTGGTCATTAGACATACACAAACATTTTTGTTACCGGGATATGATCTAAACAATATTTTTGTATGTCAAGATTTGATCTCAACACGATATTATATATCTAAAAACTTTTGTTTTCCAGAGAATTTTGGTATTGAAATATTATTAAATTTTAATTGTTGATTTTGCAGTTTAAAAAAATATTCTTTAAAATATATTTTAAACTATTTAAGATACAGGCCCGCGCGTGGGTGAAAGTCTTAGTTATATATAAGATTTTCAATTATATGAATTTAAAATATATTGATATATGACTAGTCTTTTAGCTTATAGAACGAACACTAAATATATATGTAAATTATTCTTTAAATCAATCAACTGTTATTTGCTCACATCTCTTGAAAACCATAATCTTATATATAATTAGGAGTTGCTCTCTCCATTTAGAGTGTCCACATCAGCACAAAAACATTAAATTGTATTTAAAATATTTAATAAATATATGACTATTCATATTTCTTTACATTTATTCATATTTAATAAAAATATACAAATAAATTGATTAATTAATAGAAAGTATGTGATAATTTGATGTTCAAAGTTATCAAAAAGTTGGAATATAAAATAGAGATGGAGTAAAGAAATATTCAACTTCAAATAGTATATATTTACTTTATTATTCAAAGGATTTATCTACTTAAAAATGTTAGAATGTGTTTACAAGTTAAAAAGTTGAATATAAATTAATTAAGACAATAGAAAGCTAATGAAACATTAGAGTTAGAGTTTGTTTTTCTAAACAAATAGAAATAGAGTTTTATATGTAAATTTAATTGTAGTGAAAAACAAGAATATGTTTACAAATTTTAACCTTCAGTCAAATGCATATACATATTTATAAATTTTAACCTTCAATCAAATACATATACATGTTTACCGTCTAATAGAAGTAAACATAATATTTATAACATGATAAAATTTTACAAATAAAAAACTCAAGATAAAGCAGAGTATAAATATCCTAATAAATCAAAATAAAAACAAATTATTCATATTTTTTTAGTGTTAGTGGTTTAGTTAACTCAAAACATAACAAAAACATGAAAGTTAACACAAAACCATCATATTTCAAATCCACGAGTATAAATAAAATTAAACAGAAAAACTATCGTAAACAACCCCGCGCTTGCGCGGGGCTTCAAACCTAGTTCCATATAAATCATAGATTACCTATGATCTGATTTCTCATTGCTGTTATTTTAATTTATGCATGAAAAAATTTCAAATTAATATCAATTTCTGTTAACCACAAGCTTCATAAATAATGAAGATTTTAGAAGTTTTTTTTTATTTTATTTTTGTTAAAAGGCCTAAGATTTTAGAAGTATAAATTATTTTCCTTATATTGATACAGAAATGTGTGAATTTTCCCTGCAAATCTTTGCTTAAGTTAATGACAAATATGAACTTTTACCTTCCTTAAGTCTAGCAACATTTTGATTTCTTTATATATATATAAATAAAAGTAGAAAGGTAAAAGTTGATTAATAAACCCCTGACAGAAAATAGAGATAAACCCTGACAGAAAATAAAAAAAAAAAGATAATTTTGATGTTATAAATGTTTTTTCTTTTGATTTTTATAATGATACAAACAATTATTTCATATTATTTGCATAAGTATTATACAAAGATATATAATACGAGATAAAATAAAGCCTTCAAATATTGTTGTAAACAAATAAATAACTTAACATGTATGCACAATGACTATATATATATATATACAAATTATGAAATGTTTGACCAAATTGGTTGTTTTAAATTATGAAATCTTTCACTAAACTGGCAGTCTAAATTTGTGTTTGTGGAAAATGTAGATTACCTTCCTAATATGCAATAGAACACTCATATACACAAAGCCAACACACTAAGTTATTTGTACCTACCACAATACTGGAAAGACAAAAAGTAAGGATCTGAATGATGACAGAGGATTGTGTAGTGCGGGTTAAGTGGATTTAGAGTGCAGTGCGGTTTATTTTTGAAAAATGCGGATAAAACTAAACTGCAGAACAAGAGCGGTTTATTCAGAATAAGCGGTACAAACCAAAGTTTGATTGGTAAAAAAAAAGCGTTGCAGAATATAATAGAAAATATAAATTATATAAATATACAATAAAAACTCTATAAAATAATAATATTGAGATTTTGAAAATTTATTATCTTATAGAGATATTACTTTATCGATAAACTAATATTTATTAACTTATAAAAACATATATTTTAATTTATAATCTTGGAAAATTATTATTCATATGATAAGAATTTAGAAAAAAAAATATTTGTCAATATAGCATGAACCCCCATCTAATAAAACATAAATTACTAACTTATTTGAATATTTATATAAAATTTTATACATGATAAAAATTAATAGTTTAGAAGAAATTCTAGCTACTAATATTGATAATGAAGTTGAAAATAGTACAATACCTTTTAAATAAGAAATTAATAACATCATTCAAGTATGATATTAACATGTTCTCTATTTTATTTTTATATTCCATATAAAAATTATGATATTATATTTGCATGTTCACTATATATCTCATAGTTATATTTCTATTATTAAGCCCTTAGATCAAAAAATAAATTCTATGATTTCCAACAAATTCTTTACATCGTGAGTGCATGTTTTGTTACTGAAAAATATATTGCTATTATTTAAAATATTAATATTCACACACTTTTTGTCCATTGCGTTTATTAACGGACCGCTGGTCCTTGTGGATGGATAAAGGTTCCGAATAGTGATAGCGGATTGTGTTGTGCGG